CTCCTGGGTGAGGCCTTCTCCCACACCTGCCCCCTTGGTTTCTCGACAGATCACTCATTCTCTTCCTTGCAATTTCATCTCCCTCCTTGGAGTGGATGTTAGGCCTCCAGCCCCTATTTTTAGGTTTGACAAAACTATTGGCGTGTGGTTTTTGGCCTCCTCTGTCCTCTGTCTCCAGCTTCTTGGAAAATCTGGATGTGTCTCAGGATTGGAACAGGGGAGATGATGTGCTGGGTTTTGTCTGGGGAACAATAAGTTAGAAATCAAGGCATATGGGGTAAGCTGGGGTAGCCTGTGGGTCTCCTGCTGTGTTTATTAGCCTGAGTCCTCCATCTGTGGTGGAAGCAAAAGCCCAGCTGTGAGAGATGCCATCTGAGTATAAGAGAAACTTCTAGCTGCACATTGTTTGGGTTAAGTACAATATTAGGTTGGTGCAAAAGTAATTGAAAGTAATGGCAAAAACTGCAATTACTTTTGCACCAACCTAATACTTCCATTGTTGATCATGGGCTACCACCATTTTGCTAATGTGTCTGTTTCCTTGGCATTGACCCCAGCTCCTACGCCCCAAACTTCCAAAGAATACATAAAATCCAAGGCTAATCATAAGAATGCAAAGATAACATCTGGAGATTTTAAAATCATAGATCCCCCATTTGGAAGGAGAATGGAATTTATAACTAACTGATGTGAGCTCAAATTCAGTCTTAACTACCTCACAATAGACCCTTTGCCATCTGGGGGGTACTGAATTCCCCAGTATCAACTTTCTTGCCTGTAAAGAAGGATGATAACTATCTTAAAACTCAGTGGGTGTATTTCTGCAAATATTTATACAGAATCTAGTGTGGTGCCTGAATGTTAGAGAAGCTTAATAAACAGTAGCTGTTATTTTTAACATTAGAGGAAATTCTTTAAATGCAACATGTCCTGGACCTAGACACTTTATAGTCTGCCTAGTACTAAAGCTTCTGTTTCATCTAAGGGAGCTGAAGATGAGACCCACCAAGTGGATTGTTTTAAAGCCTTTGTCTTGAGTTCGTAGCAAATGCTTTATTATGAGCTCACTCATATTTCCCCACCTTTACCATTTCAGGCCCTTTCTACTGCTGTCCCTAGATCTCTTTGCCTGGGGGTTTCCCCTGGGCCCCAAAGTCCACTCTGCCTGGGCCCAGCAAGCTTGAATGCTGGGGAATTAATATCCCTTAAGAGCAGTCTTGAAGCAATAAATGATGAAAGCTGGTGGATAAATACTCTAGCTCCCCTGCCTCCTTACGTGAGATAACTTAGTGGCTCTCCCGTTAAACTGTCTCCCAGTTCCCACAGAAGAATTAGATCTCAGTTGCCCACAGTGATAACTGGCTTGCTAACACACTTTCCTCCGCTCCTTTCTCTTCCCTGTCTTCCTTCCACACTGTCCCACAAGCACTTCCTGGGATCACCTTTCAAATCAACTGTTTGCACTTGAGTCCTTGCTTAGAGTCTCCCTGGGAAACCCAAATGCAGGCGAATTTCAATTCAGAGGTGCAACCCCTGGGTGCTGCTAGGGTTTGTTTAAACGAGCCAGTATTATTTGAAGAAAGGCAAATCCAGCCAAGATGAGACGGGCCTTGCCAAAGAACATCAGGCACATTTTGATGATGCCAGTAGGGCTGATGTTGGAGCTCTTTATTATAAACTGGAGCCATCTGCCGGCCTGTAATAACCTGAATATGAAAGTCCTAACCTGGGATGCAGTTAAACTGAATAATTTCTGTTTGTGGTTATGCATTTAAATCTTCACATGCTCTGAACGGCAGATTGAAATTCATAAGTACGTTGTTTTACAAAACTGGCATGAAGTCCTTTCAATACAATGTGCAAAATTCATTAGTATGTTGCATCAAGAGCTCAGTGTTTTCTCTTTGTTGTTATTATGCTTCGTTTTTAAATAAAGGAAACTTGTAGGACCACAGCCTTGCAAATGTCTCGCAGTGATGCCAAGAACCTCTCTGTAAGCCACTTTCTAAGCAGCAATTTCCTTTTTGTCCCATAAAACTCCCCAAAGCACCTTAGGCGAACACTGAAGCGAGGGCTATGTTTGCAAACTGCAACTACAGCAGACATTTAATTACACTGAATTCATCAAAACCCTAATTGAGACAGGAACTCAAACCTTATAGCTTAATTACTTTAATTTCAGATGGATAACAGATTTGGTCATGTGCAACCCTCCATGCTGAAATTCGTAGAGGGAGGCCCACGGGCACTTGCTGGTAATTCTCCCAGCCAAATGAAAGTGCAGATCAACATAAATAAAATGCTAAGTGAGACCCATGATTGGATTTATTAATCGCTTCAATTCCCAATATCCAGCCTTTGCCATAACATTCCACTGCACCAACTCCACCGCTTGGGAGAGCTTCTCCCTGTGTGAGGCTGGGAAGCTGCCATTTCTTTTTTTTTCCCTCCTACTGGCAGACAGCACAGAAGTACGTACGAGTCTTTTGAGATTGTTTTTCTATGAACATCTCCTTACTTTGATTTCCATTTAGAAGATCTTCTCCCTGACTATCCCTTCCCTTCCCATTGAGTATCCTGTGTCCGTTAATTAAGATGTAGACACCCTTGACTGTTAGATAAGTTCTATCAATGAGTTGGTCAAATTATCACAGTGATTTTGGTGGAATTTGGAGGTGAGAACCCCAGGGATGCATATTCTGAGCATTGCTAATGTCGTCTAACTGAGACTGACTTACCATGTAAAACAGGTGCTATTACCATGTAGAACAGGTGCTATAGTTCATCCTGATGGCAACACTAGGAAGTGGGTGTGCTTATACCCACTCTATAGATGAGAAAAATGAGGCTTTGAGAACATAAGTAACTTCTCCAACGTCTCACAGCCAGAAAATGGCAGAATCAAGACACAAACCCAGACCCACCTGATTCCCCAGCCCATGTTCTTTCCAAAACATAATTTTGCTTTCTCTGCAAAGACTTGAAGGATCCTATACAACCCTGAGCTGGATGGCCTTGAAAATCTCCAAGTGGGCACAGGACAGGAAACTCAGAAGGAAAGGTTGGCATCCAGAGTCATCGCGTGGACTGCTTCTCCCAACAGTCATGGCTGTTACTTCTGTCCATGGCTATGGGGTTGTGAGGCGAGCCAGCAAAGACCTTCTGGAGTGAGTGAAGGGACAAACACCAGCATTTTTTGGAGTTCAGAGAGCCCTTTGCCTTTGATGCAGGTGTTCCAACCAAGCTGGGATGAGCCGCGTTGCTAATGAGTGATGAGCCACACATGCATCCAAGCCATTTCATAAGTAATTAGTTGTGTGGCACTGACTAGATGCTCCCTAGTCATTTGTTTCATTTCTCTACATTATCTCTCTTCCTCTGGGCTTGCTTTTGAATCAAGCTTCAGGTACAAATGATGAATGAACTAATGACAACACTAATAACAGCTAGACTAATAACCATACTGCTGATGGTGACAATGCCAATTAGGAGAGTGCTAACAGCGACAGACTCTTCTGCTGTTCATCTCTGGAAGGCCACGGGCAGGTGTCCAAGGCAAAGGAGAGCCAGGGAAGTGCAAATAGCACCAAAGGCAAAGGCAGAGACATATTTTTTAAAAAATACTAACTACATTTATGGGAGATTTAGAAAGCACATATTGTGGGTCCACAAAATCTAAGACATGAGCTCACTGACTGAAAGGATGACAAGAGGGAAATCATTCAGTCTAGGGAGCTGAGCAGAGTTCAGTCACCACGTACTGGGAGCCCATTCTCCTGAAAGAAGGAACCCGTCCACCTGTGGGCCCTGGAGCTGAGTCCTGATGAGACCCAGGTATCCCTCTGCATGTCACCTGAAAGCAACTGACACACCAGGCAATCCAGACAAATCAATAGACATGAAGATGTTGGAAGTAAAAATGGGCAATGGAGAATGCAATGGTGGACTAGGGGTGTCCTGCATGGAGACCCTTGAGTCTACATCAGCGGAACGGGCAGCACGGGGTGCCCCTTGCCGCTGTTGTGAGGCGAAGGGTGAGGGGAAGGCTGCCCCGGGGCTTTCCTTAGCCCCCTGACCCAATCAGCTGCTTCTAGTAGAACAGCACACTGTTCATGTCAAGGCTGCTGATCAAGTGATTACGATCAACAGTTTCCTTGATATTGTAAGTGGAGTAGCCTCCACGAGCTTTTAGAAGTGACTTTTACTAGAAGATACACAAAGTTGTGGGTATTTGGGAAGAGACCTCAAGGTTGTGTTTTTTCTGAATAAAATTCCCATGAAGAAATTTAGGATATCAGAGTTGGCAAAACAGTTGCAAATCCTGCAAACAAAGCTCCAGGCGCTGCTGCAGTGTCCTGTAGTCTCGGTCGCCCAGAGCCTCCCATGCAGTGGCTTCTGAGCACCTTTCCCAAGCTTTCCAAAACAGACACCAGTATTCATAAAGAACACAGATACCAGGACAACCACCTGGAAGTGGCATCAACTCTATAGGTAAACTGCAGGCTTGCAAAGCCCTTCATGACCCCAAAGGCACGCTAAAACAGAGAAATGAAATGTTCTACTATAGTCGAAAAAGGTTAGACTGTGTCCTAAACCATGATGACTGCACATTGTGTTTAGCAGATTCTCGTGTATTTTACTTCCACTGAGCAAAAATCATACCTAAAAGTGTTCTAGGCTATTCTAGTTCAGATCAGTAACATACCAAAATGAGTGTGGAACCCTTCAGATTATAACCCACATCTTTCAGGCTGGTTAATTATTTATGTGGACCTGAGCATTCTATATTCCATCAACATGGAGACCAACTAATGGTGGCTTACCAGTTTCCACTTCCAGCTGGGCCAGCCTCCTGGGATGTGAGGTCCCACATCACTGCTGCCCAAACCACTGGGCCCTGATACAAGTTGTGTTCCAGCAAGACAATCTCCTGCCTAAACTCCAGGACTCCCCTTTCCCCAATATCACATTTGCCATCACAAAGAAGCCGCCAGTCTTACCTGCCCAGCAAAGAGCCCACAGACACCAATGATGCACAGGATGTTGAATACCGCTGAGCCCACGATGGTGCCAACTCCCACGTCGCCTTTGGTGATGAAGACCCCTGCAACACAGATCCCACATCAGCCTGGCTGCTGTGGCCCTGTTGCATTCCAAAGTGGGCGTGGGGAACCTTTCATAAGCATTAGATTGTTCTCAGAATCTACAGGAAACAGCTGAGGGTGGAGAGAGCTTTCTAATCTACAGAGGGATGACTGCTGCACAGGAGTGTGGGGGGCTCGGGGTCTGGGACAAGTTCATACACAGTAAAAGCATCACTTAAATAAAACAATAGTAGATGGGAGGCTGATGTTCTACTCATTGGGGCCCCTGGATTATCATTTTCTATGAGGGGCAGACAGTCTCGATCTGGGGGCCATCTCTTCCCAGAGCCCCTTTCCTTCAGACAGTGAAGGGCTGAGATGTCCCTCAGTCTGTCACCTACCTATGACCGATGTGAACAGCTCTGGGGCCGAACTGCCCGCCGCCATGAATGTGGCCCCAGCCACATCTTCACTGAGGTGCAGGCGCTACAGAGGAGCAAAGACAAAGCACAGGTGAGTTGGGATTCCATCTGGGAAGAGAAGTGACTGTGACAACAAGTTCAAGCCCTGAGAAGCAAAGGCTGGGGCTTCAGCGAGAGCAGGAACGATGGGACCTGGGGCTGGTACTTAGTCCCTCTCGGCCCCCTTCTCCTTCTCACAGAGCCCAGTCACTGTTGCCGAACCCCTACTGAGCCAGAGCTCCTCTCAATGCCCTCCTCAAGGGACAGGTTTGGGGAGGGAACTGCATGTCCTTATGAGCTAAAGCCTCTTGGGAAGATCTAGGAGTCTTCAACCCAATTCCCCCAGGGGCTGTGCAGATGACAGTTAGGAGTGGAGGTGGGCCCATGGGAGGCCACAGCAGATGATATGTCTGAGGCTATGATGGGGGCAGTCACCTGTTTTCTGTGGGAGCATTGCCCAGTTCCCTCAGTGTGGCCAGATATTCTGATTTTTAAGAGATGCCAATAATCCAAACTTTGATGCAAAACTTCCAGATTTTTGTGATACTCTGCTGATCTCAGGCTAAATGTGGCTCATGGTAACCAGTTTGTGAGTCTTTACTCTAGGAGGTTATGGAGGCATGTTGGGGTGTGGATGTGGGGATCACCCTCCTGAAACCCACTCCCCTTCCTTGAGGCAGTCTGGAAACCCCGGGATGGGAGAGTGGGAGTGGGGGCTTAAAGCTGAGAAGAAGGTAATGAGGCATCAGCCCTGCCAAGATGGAGTTTATACAATGAGCTCTCCATGTTACCCTGTTTGTTAAACGAAAAGGTGATTTGCAAGAAGACAAGGCAATTATACATTAGAGGCTGGTTACCAGATTTTGCATTTCTGCATTCAGTCATGACCCAGAAAGCGTGCTGCTGGCTGCCAGCATACTTGGAGTATGACAGTTCCCTCCTGGTAGTCAAGCTTGAGTGACATCCTCCTCTTTCAGTGGCACCAACAGCTGCACTTCCTTGCTTAGCCAGAGAGGGGCAGTGTGGCCCTGGTGTAGGTCACTGGCCTCCATTGACTGACTCACAATAGGCTGCAGGAGGAGTCCTAATTGAGGATTTTGATCTAGGATCCTGGGTCGCTTCGCTGTCGGCTGGACAGCGAAGCTTCACATGGGATGCTGAGCAGACCCTAAGATGGAGGCACAGATACTGCAAAGTTGCAAGGTGAGGCTGTGAGGGGTGCCCAAGCACTCCCGTCCCATGGAGCTAAGAGTTCGTGAATGAGGTAGCCTGACCCACAGCTCGCAGCAACCTGTATGCTTTGCCAAGACCTGCCAGGAGGCGGGAGCCGTGTGTTGCTGTGGTTCTGTCCTGCTGGGGTATTAGTTGTAGTATCCAAACCTTGGGTTCATGACCAGTTCCCCTCTCTCCTTCATCTAGCCAGTTTGTTTCTTCCTTTGTATCTTCTTATACCCCTCCATCATCCTCAGTTCACTTCAGCCCTGGCAACATCTCACAGGACTCTAGTCTTCTTGACTCTGGACTCCTATCTACCATGACAGAGCCCTCAAAAGCCCTCTCCAGCTCCTTCCAGAGCTTGGAATAATTCCTAACGCCCAGCCTGGCATGCAGGGCTGCCGGTATGCTGGTGCAAAACCCCATCTTGGTTTTGCGGCTCAGATGTTCTCTCACCAAATACCCTTCCTCAAAATACTTGGCCACTAACACCTTCCTCTAAGGGCCGCTCTAATCCTGCCCCTTGCACAAGCCCTTTCTTGATCTCCTCCCAACTCTATCCCTCACAGCATCAATCTCTCCTTCCCCCACTCTCTCTCTGCACTTCTGCACTTGCCAATTCCCCACCACTTCCTCCAGCCCCCTGTGGATATTAACCTGGAGCTGCTCTGCAGCTAGGAGCCCTGGGATGGGATGGGACACACTGTGTGTGATCTAGTTTCTTCCCAGCCCTTGGCATAGAGCTTGGTCCAGGCAGAGCCCAGCTTAGTGCTGACATCAGAGGGGTGAGTAGTGTTCCAGAACTATTGTCACATCTTCCGCTGCTCAAATGTCCCACTGCTGTCCTGGAAGCCTCCACATGGGTCCCAAAGCCTCCCACCCTCCCCATCTGACTTCATCTTTCCTAGATGAGCCTCTGCTCAGCCCAAGGCTGCCACCTCATGGTCCTTGGGGATGCCAGGCCCTTCCCCTCACTGAGCTTTGGTTCATGTTCACTCTTCTTCTTGAAATGCCTCTCTCCCTTTCCACCTCAGTGCAGCCGAGTCTGTCTACTGTGGCTTATAGGATTTCTCTAAACTCTGGAGACCCTCTCTGCATGTCCTACAATGATATCTCTTGGCTGTTCAAAATCTAGGGGCTGCCATTTCACACAAGCAGAAAGTGAGGTCCAGACACAAGGAGAAAGTGAGGTCCAGACAGGGGAGGCAGCTGGCATGGAGCAGGTGCTTTGCAAGCACCAGGGCCGGACCCCAGTTTCGGATCCTGGATCACTGCCTTTATCTCCTTCTCTTTCTCCCAGTTTCTCTTCTTTGCCTTTTCCAGAACTCCACATTTTTCTGCTTTTAACTTTAAAGTATTTGAGACTGAGTGAGAATCTGCCCTGACCTCCAAGCAATGATTTGTTGAATCGTGTGGATTTCTCTCCCTACTCATCTTTCACAAAAGCTGGAAACAACATCCTTCTGTGTTTTTCTGCCCTACTCCCAGTTTTAGTCTATGAGCAACCATGAAGCACACAATATCGAATCATTAAAAGGTGATTAGGGAAAGTACAGGCAGTAAACAGAGCCCAGGGCCGAGAGGCCCTCTAGGCCACTGCTGGTGGACCCACACCATGATCCTCTCATCTTGTGAGAAAGTGTAACTCCAGGGAGAATTGATCCCATGACTCTTAGAAGATGTAAACATGTCAGGATGTCTATCTCTAAATATGTAAGCTCTGACCTCAGCCCACCCACCATTCACAGACATAACGTTTCCCCAGCAATTAAGGCTGTTTAAGGTCCATGGAGCCAACACTATCTTTACAGGAGACAGGCACGGGGCACCTACTCTTGTTATATGAATCTTGCTTATAAGACCAGATTCGGGGTGGAAGGAGGGAGAGCCCAGGAAAAGGCGGTTGCTCTTCTGTGCCCACTCCTCCAGTATTGCTGTGGGTCCGGGCAGTGCAGCCAGTTCTAACAACACCATGACCTGATCCAGGCTCATCTCTGGATAGTGGAGCAGCAAAAAGTCTGAAGACTTGGGACTCAGGCTGACTTGGGCTCAAATAGTGACTCTATCCCGTGACCCATGGCAAGTTGCTCAGCTTCTCTAAGCTCTGGTTTCCTTGTTTGTAAAGAGGGGATAATATCAGTCACCTGGCAGAATTCTTGAGATGATGAAAGACAAGTAGACATAGTCATACACACTGTTTAGCGACTGAACCATATCAGGGACCTAGTAAAATAACACCCCCCACTTAACCATTTTCTTTCCTTTTCCTCTCCTTAAAACTTTTTTGGTTAAAAGACTCACCCTGCCCTCTTTTTCTGCCATTTTCTGGCTCTTTGATTGCCTCCCCGTACAAGGGCGTGGATATTCACAGGTTCTGTGGATTTCCTCAACTGAGTAGAACACGTGCTGACAGCTGTACTGACATTTCCAGAATATAATTTTGATGTTCACACCAAAAAATTTGCACGGGAAAGAGAGAGAGTGGTTTTGCTCTGCATGAAGAATAAACCACCCAATGGTGGTATTTCAGAGATCACAGAGGACTCCAGTTACAGGTGAGGAACACCTCCTCCCCTTCAACATAAGGTGATCCCACTCCCACGTGGAAGTCCTCGGATAAAGGGCCTTCCCACCTGTCCACTGTGCATTTCAGACGCCGCCTCACTTATTCTGTGCTACCGTGGAAGGGAGCCCCTCCTGTGGCTTTCTAAATATTCTTATTGTGGCACACTTTTTATTTATTTAAGTATCCAACACTAACTTCCAGGATGTAGAAGTAACTGTTTAGGGTATGTGGTTCGCTAAGTCTGTGGTTCCTGGACCAGGCAGCAGCCTCAGCATCACCTGAAAAACGTATTAGAAATGCAAGTTCTACCCCCTCCCACTCTCCCAAGACCTATTGGATCAGGTACTCATGGGAGAGAGAAGGAAAGGGAAGACACAATCAGTTTTGAGAACTACTGGCATACAGAAACGGAGTTCCGGACAAATGTGTCTGAGGGAGATGCCTTCTGGAAACAGGGATTCTGAATTTAAAAATAAATAAATAAATAAAATGGAAAGCTTTCAGATAAAGGAAACTACATTTCCAAACAGACAAAGAGTTGAAAGAGGCAAGAGAATGAAAGAGTTCTAGATCTGCTGAATATTTTTTGATGAAAGGGGTTTAACTTGCTGTTCAGCCTGGCATGCACTGTGATGATTTCTAACAAGGACACTTTCCTGATCTCTGTGGCCAATTCTTTCATCTCAGTGCTTCCACTTGGAGCATTTCTGTATACATACAGAGAGAGGAAGCGTAGCAGAGGTATGCAGTTGGAGGTTTTTAATCCTGTGAGGACCCCAAGGATCATCAAAGGAGAGTTATAGAGGCAGAAGGAAACGCAGGAGAGAGGGGTAGAGGAAATGACAGAGAGAAAGGAAGAGTGAGTTTAAAAGGAAAAGAAAATGGGGAAGAAAAATACAAATAGCACCATTAGTTAGGTCTAAATGGAGTTGGGGAGGTTGGTCCTGTGGGTTTTCGTCTGATTATTGATCGGTGTCATGAAATGCTCAGTGGACTGATGGCACTTTTGTGCTAATAATGACCATTGCTCTCAAACATGCTGATGCCTGGTGTTCCCACCGCAGCTGCCCTGCAAGGGCTCTCCAGGATCTTGGTGAGGAGGCTGGAACAGTACAGGGCACAGGTTCAGTCCCCAGTCTGGCTCACACATACCAAGAATATGAGGCACGTACCTCACAGATCTTTTCCAAGGAAGGGACGAAGAAGTCATCACACACAATGGCCAGCGCATAGAACATGTATATGGCCTGGAAGAGAGGAGATAAAAGGGGTTAAAGTTAGAGCGAGGCAGGGCCAGGAAGATGAGGGTCCAGCCACCTTCTGCTTTGATAATGTCTTCTGTCATCGTGAATTCAACATCTTAAATACCAAGTCTTTGCAATGCCCACAACACTCCCCTGTGACCTGGTCCCAGCTTCCTCTCTGATGTTGTCACCTGCCGCTCTCCTTTTGCCCACCTCCCTTTCCATGAAACATGCCATGGATTCCTGTCTCACGGCCTTTGCACTTGTTCTTCCCTCTGCCTGGAACACTCTCCCGCAAGATAGCCCACTGGATCACGCCATCACACCCTTCAGGTCCCTGCTCAGATGGCAACCTCTTTCGCCCACTTCCATTTCTCTCTATCTCATTTATCTGTTTGGTTTTTCCTGATATATTATATGTTAAATTAATTCACCTATTGTCTGTCTCCTCCACCAGAAGTTCACGAGGATACGATGTCATATAATTAATTTCATGTAATTATTGCCATATCCCCAGCAGTCAGCACAGGGCCTAGTATATAGTAGGTACTCCATAAAGGTATGTGAAATGAGGGAATAAATAAATGAACACTTCCAACTGGACCTCTTTACTCACCAGATCCCTGCAGGAAAGCTTTGCAAACTTGCTTCTGCATCTTGGTCAGCTATGACCAGGGTATCACCTGGAATTCTACCTTCTGGCCAGAAATTGCCTCTCCACTCTATCCAACCCCATGTTTCCTCTCTCACTAATGAAATCTTACTAGGATTTCAGTGTTGATTGACCACTCAACATCCTTCTCCCACTCTTTCCTAAGAAGACCCTAGTTTTGTCCAAATATCCACCATGCCGCATGTGGAAGGTGACCCTATCCTTTTGTCCAGGAGTGGATGCTGACTGGTCAATCAGTATGTAGTATTCATTAACTGTGGCTATCGGTTCAGAGGTGAGCACATGACCTAGGCTGACCCAATTAGAGAGCAGGAAAGGCTTTTAGTTTTTGCCAAAGGGAGCCATTTCTCACCCTCTGTTGCTGGTTGTGGAGGAAGAAGCTGGGAGCCCTCATTGCCGCTGACAGTCATATTGAAGGAATCTGACTTGAGAGGAAGTTGACCCTGAGTCATAAAAAACCCTAAACCCTTGATAACATCCCTGAGCCCTTGATCAAGTGCCCACCCTGCCTCTTGACTTCATAACATACCATGAGCACTGTTGAGGCCAGTTTGATTTAGAACATCTCTGTTACTTGCATCTCAAAGCATCTAATAGGTGTGCTTCAAGTTCCAGCAACCTCAGCAGTGACATTGCGTTCATTTATTGACCTCCCAGTCTCTTTTCCTTTTGAGAAGTGCTCCTCAGAATAGGAGTCATACATCCTCTCCAACTCACACAGGGCGCAGACACATGACCCAGGATAGCCATAGATCATCCATGCCCTGTCACACAGTGGAGAGTCAGGGACAGGTCTGTAAGGGGCCAAGCAGAGATAAATGGAGAAGCTGAGGGAGAGACATCCTCTTTTTATAGATATAAACACCCCACATCTGGAGCTGCTAGAGGCAGCTATGACAGTTTCCTGAGAAGAATGCTGCTGTCACAGTGAGAAGCCGACCCAAGAGATGGGACAGGCACACGCACACACACAGACACACACACATCCCAAATGACACCATGTGACCCCTGACCCCAGCTCCAGTCTAAAATCAAAGTGGACTTTCCAATTTCATGAGCCAATAATAGGCCTTTTACACTTAAGCAGTTTTAAATTTCTGTCACTTACAACCGTCCTTCATGAAGCCTTCTGTGGCAACCCAAGCATGAAATGACCTCTCTTGCCTTTGACTCTTGGCAGTTGCACTAATGTACCCCCAGGGTCCCTGCTTTGCATGAGTTTGTTTGCTTTTTCACATATATGCTTGGTCTCTTCCATGAGATCGTAAGATTCTAAAGCATACCTTAATGCTAGATCCTGTGGAAATATCAGACTAATGCAGAAAGACATATGCACTAGTATTTTCATTCCACAATTGCTGACTACAATAAGTTATCAAACCTAGCAAAATATACCTTGGGGAATGGGTTATATAAACTGGTTCATCATTCAATAAGACGCCCTTAAAAGGGATTGTATAAATCCAATATGAAGTGACAAGGAAAGGCATTCGCAATACATTACTAAATGAAAAACAGCATTACAATCTCTTTTTTATTACATAATCTATGTATATGTGTACATACACACATTATATATTTGCATATAAGAGTTTGTAAAGCCATTAATCAAAATAGCGGCTACATTTCTCTCTCAGTTGGTGTGACTCTATCTGTATTTTATAATCCCTAACAACATTTTCACTCTGAAATAGTATTTCTTCTGTAACTTGTGTAGGTGAGGGGAGATTTTAGAGGTAAGAACTCTGTCTTATACTTCTTTAATTTCTGAGGAGCCTGGGATGCTTGACATGGAGAAAAAATCGCAAAAATAACTCATTAATAGATCCATTCATAATCTGTACAAAATTATTTGCCAATGGGCTTTTTATTGAAAACGTCAATTAAGAATAATTCTTGCTGTATTTTGTAGCCTGGGAAAAATCGGAAAATACATTCCCAAATTGTAATGGACTCAAACCCTCTTTTGCTGTATGACTTGGCTGATTCAATGATATGCAAGTTTTAAGATTAGCTTTGAAAGGACACTCACATTCGGTAATCAGGATACAGAATTGCACATCTGTGGATTAATCAAGATCTAAATAAGCTGTCCATAGCTGACATATTCAACTCACTGAAACAGCCAACACTGCCTAGAAGTCCATAAACCATCTCACCAAGAATATGTTCCAGTATTACGTATTGATCTGGTTTTGTGGCAAGAAGTTCCATCTAAAACACTGTTATATCCATGCTTGGAGTGGGGTGAGAAATGAGATCTGCCAAACACTCAGGACTTTTGAGGATAGTGACTGTCGAAAGCTGTGTGAGTTCTCATGAGCTGGGTAGCATGAGGCGGGGATGCTCACTGTTAACCGGATGCCCTTTGACATAGCACCTTTGGGCACCCAGAGAGGCCTGGAAGGCGATAAGCCCTTGCCAGCTGCAGAGCCCTTCCTGGCACCTGAGGGTGGGCCTGCCACTCTGGCTACAAAACACTGTGCTCTAACTCTCTCTCATGTTACCCACTGGAAAACAGGTTCCTGCAGTACAAGCAAAGACAACAAAGGAAGAAAACATAGGTTCAAAGTCAAATTTTAAGATGCAGAAAACCTACTGGGAGTGTGACGTTGATGGTACTATCAATACAACTAGCACAAATAGCTTTAATAGAGTAAGACATCTTTAGGTTACTTTGACCATTCTTTTATTTTCAAAGGATATATTAATATCATTGACAATAATAATAATAATCACATTTGCCACTGTTTGTTGAGACAGGAATTCCAGGCATGCTCCAGGTATATTAACCGGACTTTCTCAGTTCTTCTAAATCTTGTATGAGGCAGGGAGTTACTAGTCACATTTCCCAGATGATGCAGAGCATGTAGGAACTTGCCCAGGTACACATGGCCAGCAAACGGCAGGGCTTAAATTTGACCCCAGGACTCCCTCCAAGCCTTCCCGCAGAGCCCAGCTATTTCCCTGTATAAAGATCATTTTTGGTTCACCACCCCATCTCCACTGTTTCTGATGTTCAACTCATCTACTAGTGAGCTGTCTTCTCCAACTGCAGACAGCGAGGGATATTTTTAGAATTCCAGCCATCCACTTTTTGGGGCTGCCTGTCAGAGCCATTGAAGTTCTTTATCAATATTATTATTTTTACCAGATGCACTACAAAATATGAGACAGATTTGAACTCTCGAAAATGCTTGGGCTGGCCCAACACCCTGAGGCAGCCCAAACATGCTGTAACTCACCCTGGAACCCAAGCCCATGGCTTGGCTACGGCAGCCGGTACAAGCGAATGTGGGGTGCCTTCTGGAAACAATGAATGATGGGCATCTAGAGAAGATGGGGGGTCTTTTGGAATTTCATCTTTACTCTCATGACCATCTTTACTTCTCTTCCCAGGGAATTTTTCAGAACCCTCTGAGTGGGAATCTGCTTTGGCATTGATCGTGTGTAGCCTGTACTGTGAGCCGTGTTTTATGTTCATGTCTCTGGACTCCTTTTTGTTTTATGTTCATGTATTTGGCCTCCCTTCTACTGAGGGTAGCATCTGTGTCCTCACGTATTAATATCCACCCCACCCAAGCGTGGGCTCTCTCTATATGAAGTGATGGATCCCAAGGAGGGTAGTGTTCATGGAGTAGCTGGTGTTGCCTTTTTTGTTTTTTTTTTTGAGAGTGTCTCACTCTGTCACCCAGGCTGGAGTATAGTGATGCATTGCACTCATGGTTCACTGCAGCCTTGTTCCACCAGACTCAAGAAATCCTCCTACCTCAGCTGCCTGAGTAGCTGGGACTACAGGTGCATGCCACCATGCATGGCTTTTTTTTTTTTGTATATTTTTTTTAAGAGTCAGAGTTTCACCATGTTGCCCAGGCTGGTCTCAAACTCCTGAGCTCAAGTGATTCACCCACTTGGGCCTCCCAAAGTGCTGGGATTGCAGTTGTAAGCCACTCCACCTGGCCTGGTGTAATCTAACAAGGGAAATGCCCAAGTAGCATGGACAGGGTACAAGCAGTTGCTAAAAGCAACAAGCCTGGAACCTTGGAGGAAGCCCGGGGCATGGTGTGGCATCTCCCATCAGGTCCTAGACTTGAAACTTCCAAGCTGTGTGACTTTGTGTGACTCTTCTTACCTTGCTTACCCCTTCAACATGGGCCTCATCACTGCATGCTCCCTGGTGCTTATAAGGCTGTTGTGAGAAGTAAACGAAAAGCAATGAGCAAAGGGGCTTAGACATAGCACAGCCCTTCATGCACTGCCATTGTCGTGGCAACAATAAGGATGCCATGAGAACATGCCCAAGCTAGCCTGCTGGAGGAAAAGAGACATG